CTGTGTCTCTCCTCCAGTGGATGGAGACCCAGTTAGTCCTTGTTCACGGATAAGAAGCATCTGTTCCTGTCTTTACAGATACATATATATAATAAATTCATTACTCCTTTGTTCCAGAAAAAAACAGAATTATTCTAACACTTTTATATGTATATGTTGAAATATGACAGGCAGGTTTTGCTCCTCCCTGCCTGGTGCACGTTGCTTGCTGGGAAAGGCTCTGACTCCCACACAACCCTGAATTAGAAGACACTGAAAAATGGATCCATAAAAGTTTCGCTCCACAGTTTCCATTACAGTAACACGCAGTCTGCACTGGTACTTTCCAGGTGGAGTGAGTTGTGCAATAGCTCTGTTAGGGCTCAGGGATAATCTGTAAGAGCTGGGTTCGAGGATGCAGGTGTCAAGCTGTGTTTATTACAGCGGGTCCACCTCCAGCCCTCCATTGCACCCTATTGAAAGTGACAAATCACCACTGGAAATCAAAGTGTTCTGGAAACACCCTGAGGCTTGTGGTATTTGACCTGATACCTCTGATTAAGAAAACTCCTACAGGAATGTGAGAAACACTCCTGTGATCCAGCTCCGTGCTGTAGCTCCGGGGCAGTCACATTCCGTGACGCAGATGGTTTCTGCATTGGCTCGGAAAGCAGTGTGTGTGTGTGGGGGGGGTTGGCTGACTAATTCACCTGATTCCCTGGGCACTGTACTCATGGACAACATTTTTTTTTTTTGGAGCGTTAAGAGAAACATAAAATTCAGGAATTCTCCTGGAGGGGAGGCAATGGCCCGTACCTGTTTGTACCATTGCGCCTGTCGATACGCTGACTGGAGCGCAGAGCCCGTGGGTCAGGGACACAGCAAGCAGTGTCTGCCACTGTGGGGCGGATTCGAACCTGCCACCCCCTGCGGGGTAAGAGAGCCAGAGCAGAGTCAGTGTCATGCTACACAACGCTCTCAACTTGACGAAAGAGATAATCCAAACTTTTTGATAAGGGAGCAAAGGATAATAATAAACTAAAAAATGAAGTCTGAAACAAATTACATTACTAACATATAAGGAGTCTTGTGTGAAGTTTGCATTATCCAGGATTTGCACGCATTCTAACATTTAAAAAAATACTACAAAAGAGCTTATGGTTTTCTTTGAGTAAGTTATAATTAATTTATCCCTCTTGAATTGCGTGCAAAGATTTGTCAGAAAGCTGATACCCCTCTCCCCCCCAACACACACAGAAAGAGGCAGAACTGGTTGTGTGTTTACAGATCTCTGCCTGCACAATAAATCAGAAAGAGAGGGAGTCGAGGCAGAGCAAATTTAAAATCATAAATAAAAATGAACAAAGGAAACATATATCTGCAGTGCTGGAATAGCCATGTTTCCAATGCAACAGCAGACCTGGCTCATGTGTCACTTCAGACAGCCTCAAAGTCCCTTGGCCAGTGGATGGTGAATCAAACCTCAGATAAAGACAAAAACACTTGCGCAAACAGAAAGGATCGTTCAAGATCACAGCACTCAAGACAAAGGAAATTACAAACTAGAAAAAACAACAATACACGTCATGTCATTTACCAAACCGCTCTATACCATACGGTGTTGTGGGAAGCCGGAGCCTACCCGGCAAGCAACGAGCACAAGGCAGGGTACGCCCTGGAGGGGGCGCCAGTCCATCCCATGGCCAGTGCAAGCCAGTCATACATGGGGACAGTTTAGAGGCCATGGTAAAGGCCAGGGGGAAATTTGGCCCGGACCCCGGGATAACTCCCCATTCTTATCGAGAAATGCCCGGGGATCTTTAATGACCACCGAGAGTCAGGACCTTGGTTTTACGTCTCATCTGAAAGACAGAACAATACACATCTCTTCAGGAAGTAAAATAAACTCTCTGCGGGATATTAAAATGACACATTTACAAAGCAAAGGGAGTCATTTTCCTTTCAGTACTTCAATCGCAGCCAAAACCTGTAGTGTTTCTGCCTGGGAACAGGATCTCAAACACACACACAACTATTTACTATCCAGAGATTCAGAGCAAGGTTTTGTCTTCTCTGATCATAAAACGAATTGATCTTAAAACACTCCTGAACCTAGAAAGCAGAGTGAGACAAGAGGAACTCACAGCGCACAGCTCAGAAGGGGAGTTTCACCCACAGTGCCAGGTCAGCAGGGTAAACACACGTAAAGACTCTGTTCTACATCTTCTTCCAGCAAGCAGGCTGCTCGCCACCCTTATCTCCCTCATCTGCAGACACTTCACCAGCTGCTATCCCTGCACTCATCTGTGAAGACTGCTCATTTTGTCCTCTTCGTAGCTTCAATGAGGTCATCTGATTACACTGAAGTTTAAGAGAGATCGTAAGCAGATTCTCTGTTTTACCCCCTGCTGAGATCACAGTCGCTGATGGCAGGAGTTTTGTTGCTGTTGTTTTGTACAAAATCTCAAAATCTGATACTTTGGTCTGTAGCCTGTTGAAGTTTGGGTTCAGTGAAATCGGCCATGTTGCCCACAGAGAAACAGGGCCGTTGTTATTTTAATTCCAGAGCAGCTCTTAATTAGTTGAATCCAGTTATTGTTTCCCATTCTTTTCCACGTTAACAGTGACCTTTAACCCCTAACTAAAACAATGAGGCCTTGATGAAACTGAGTTTATTCCAAAACCAACAAAAACAGCCCCAGTCTGCCAACAATGCTCGTATTCTTTCCTAAAGTATGTAAACAGTTTCACTTCCCACTTAGGAAGGGTTCCTTGTGATTTAACTCTCGGATCTGCCTGCCTCCTCCGGATTCTCCATCGCTGCCTGTATAATTGCCACCCCCCCGGCAGAGCACATGGTCTCCAACACTGCCCCCTGCTGGACACAAAACGGAACCTTGGAAAAACCCTTTGGCAATTTGTAACCCTCCTCCTCTTCCCCATCTGAGAAAGCTCATTTGTGAAATGGAGAGGAGCGGTGGGGTCTCTTTAACCCCCCGCAAAGAGAAGGAAAGAATTCCACAAGGGGGAGGTTGCAGGTTCGAGGCCGCCTGGCAGGACTGAGGGGCCCCAGGGGAGTATGGGGCTCCCTGTGATGGGCTAGTGTCCCATTCTCTGGTGAGCCTTGAGGGTGCAGTAACTGCTTTTCCTTCTTGAAAATCATTCTTAATGACACTTCTACAGTTGCAGTTTATTTTTCCTCATTCGCAACACCGCAACAATCGCAGGATGAGTCACAAGAGTCGGTTCATGGTTAGAGTGTCAGAAAATTCCACTATGAGAGTAATGAAAAAGAAAGGAATTTTCCTGGAGTCTCTCTGATTAATCCCCGAAGGACTTCAGAACACAACTGAAACATTTTAGCCCAGTTATACCTCCAGTGCTACATTCTATGATTTAATGACTCCATTCCTCCATATTCTATCTGCTTTATCCAATACAGGGTCATGAGGGATACTGGAGCCTATTCCAGCAAGCAACAGGCAGGGTACACCCTGGACAGGACGCCAGTCCATCACAGCGCACAGAGACACACACACTCACACCAGGGCCAGTTGGACTTTGGACTGTGGGAGGAAACTGGAGCACCTGGGGGAAACCTACATGAACACACAGACTCCACACAGATAGAGCCCCTGGTCCGGGATCGAACCTGGGGCCTGAAATGGAAATCTAATAAGTAAATTGATTCTTAAAATGTAGAGAGCTTTGCAAAAAATACATTGGTGCTTTTAGAAAATATATTTCAAGGATGTAACTGCTGTGCTACAGTACGTGCAGAATTTTAGAAAACAGTGTGTCAACAAAGTACACTGTTTAGGTTACTTTAGAAGACAATGTACCAAAACTATATATGCTGTCTGGGTCGTTAGAATTGGCCGAAAGTAACATATAAGCTTTGAATAACAAATTTAGTGGTGCTTCTTCTCTCGCTCTATGATGTAATCTGTTTTGTCTTAGGGAAAGGGGAAGTTTTAGAAGGGACAAAGTGCTGAGCTTTCTCTTACAGCGCAACGTCTTATAAAAACCCTGTACTGCTTGTAACAAATTGAGTCTCTGGTGCACTTTACGAAGTGGCAGCAGGGCTCCCAATATTGCAATACTGAAATAAAGACCTTACTCAGGTGAGAGCTCTCTCTTGTGGCTTCCTTGACAGTTATATTTCCTTGACAGCCCCAGTGCTGTAAAGCAGCAAGTCTGACCTCTGTGTCCCAAGACCAAATGACTTGTAATAGAAAATCATTTGAGCTCTTATTCTGGCATAACCTATCAGTAGGTTTCAAGCAGCCTGTTTTAAAATGACTCCCAGCTTGAGCTCAGTGGCCCCTGTGGTCTGTGATCTCCTGCTTGCGTGAGGGTGAGGACACAAGCAGAGCCACAGGTCTCAGTGCAGGCATGACGGCTCTCGCTGTGCTGCACATTTCCTGGCATCTCGCTCAGATCAATCTCATCAGCTGACTGTTCTCTTATCTCCTCCACCGTTCACATTCTCTTTGCAAAATGTAAAAAAACAAACGCACAGCTTTCTTTCAACTGCACGGGCAGGCCCCGACACTCAAGAGGAAATCGGATCTGGGGTTTTGAAAAACCACGACAGGAAACATTAGTGCTGATGAAGGTCGGGGCTCAGCTCCTCGTTAAATACAGCCAGTCCTGAGAGAACCCTGAATTACAGAACAGTAATCAAGGAGCAACTAAAATGTCCCGGGCTGTCCTGCTGAACCTGCTACTTTTATTTCCAGGTAAGAGAGCTGCGAGGCTCCGAGGAGGGAGCTGAGGTCACACGACGAAGCGATTGGTGTCTGGCGGTTTGGTGGGGGGAGCCGTCAAGCGATGATTCATGTGTATCTTACATGTCTTTATATATAACGTATAACTCTGTCCAGGGACGAGTGGCAGAGACCAGAATAAGGAAACAGTTCCAGACAGCTGTGGAGAACACAGAGGCCGACGAGAGGGAGCAGCAGTGTGGGACCATGGGTAGGGTTCTGGCTGGAGGGTTGCGGGTTCAGATCCTAAAGAGTAACGCAGAGGGAGAGAGGCGAAGCAAATCAATGATAAAGAAAGAAGAGACCTGATTTATAGTGAAGCAGGGGAAAAACAGATCATGAACACATCTCTTAATTCATTCATCCTAAAATACTGATTATTAGCATTTGGTCATCACAGTAAGGGCTTTCTGGCAAAACTGTGAGTTTATACAAGACTTTCCAGACCAATTCATACTGAGCACATAAGAGTGGTTACAAACTAGTCCAGCTCGTTTGGAAGTTACTAACAGATCCCTGGATCTCATCGAGCTCGTCCTTGAAAGAAGCCAGGGTATCAGCTCCAACAATATGGGTAGATGGTTTGCTCCATGCTCCCACAACCCTTTGTTTAAAGCAGACTCGGTTCTCAAGCTTGGGAAAGAGGAGATTAGAGGAGTTATTCCTCAAGAATTGCAGAAGTGGGCGAAGGGGAATCTGCAGGATGAAGTCAGGATGCAAGAGAACTGAAAGCTGTCAGTTCACAGGGCTCTTGTAAGAATCCGAGGCAGAAACCAATGCCTACAAGTTGAGAAAAGGATAAAAAGAAAGCTTGTCTTTACTCGTAAGCAAATTGGCACAAATTCCAAGTAACCGAAGGGCTGTGCGTGGTTAAAGGGCACATGTAATGTGAAAACAACCCACGTTCTTGCTAACGCGCTGATGTTTCACCCTGAAATGTGTTTACTCCCACATCACTGCAGGTGGGAGAAGGATGGTTCCCAATTCGAGTTCCCCCGGCTCCTTTGCCAAGGATAGGCTGAGATCCCACTGCCAGCAGGAGCAGCTGCCAGAGGAAAACCGGCTCATGGCAGCTGCCTGCTGAATCACAGTCCTGTGACTGGGTGCGCTTTGGAAAGAAAGGGCACCTGTAGCACAGTTGCTTAATCCAGTCTCAGACTGTTGTCTTTCAGGTCAGGTACGGTGCACTCATTTGCGTTCAGAAACGTGGCGTTCCGAGACAGTTTCTTGAGCGCTGCTCTCCCGTACATGTCCCGGCAGAAATTAACATGTCGTTAGAGACTTAGAAGCTACAATGAAATTCCAAACAAACTAGGGCAAGACGGATTTCTGATGGGATTTCAGAAAAAGGGTCATGATTCAGGTGGAAGGGAATGAATCTCTTTAGTCTAAAGAGGCCGTCCCCTTAACAATCCTTTCAAAGGAGTGGATGCCAAGGGCACTGCTGAAAGCCAGCGGTGCAAAAATACCAAGTGCTGCTGGCACAGCGGTTAGCCCTGCTGCCCTCTCAGCATTTGACCTGGGTTCGATTCCTGGCCAATGCACCGACAAACGTTAAGGGTTCCAGGAGTTTAAACCCGATATCCTGGCTTCTCCCAAAAAAAAGTCTGGGTGACATCCTGGGATCTATTAACTACTAACCACTGCCTTGTTCGTAGCTGTTCTTCAGAGAACTTTTATCTAACGAGTTATTTAATGTGTAAAAAAAGTGAGTTTTGAGGCTGCGGCAGGATTGTCGTCGCGGGTGCCGGGACAGACCGAGGGACAGGTGCGGGGGGGACAGGGGGCCGGATGGCCTGTTGCTGTCCTGAAAGTCCTGTTTTCTGCCGGGCCGACGCGATCGAATCGCCACGCCTTGTGACTGTTGTGAGCAGCTCCTTCAGACGGCTGCCGGCCCCACAAAGCCCAGACTGCTGAAAACGTTTTTAAACAAGTGAATGAATCTTACAAAGCCTGAGCCCCGTGGCCCTTTTTTACAGTGATTTCAGCGCAGACCTGTCCAGAGCTCTTTGTGCACCAGAGTCCAGCTGCTCGTCTGTGCTGCTCAAGCAGACAAGCGAATGTGAAGTTCTGGAGTCTCGCTCACATGCAGAAAGAGCAGATAAAAACAAATACCGATGGCTTTTCATGTGGTGCTGAACACTCCGGTCTTTGGTGTTTAAAGCTTTACAATGAACACCTGACATTTCAGAATACCGATCTGTTTCGATTAGATTACTTGTGTTTTATTGCAAAAAAGGAGTTTGCTACCAAATATAGAAGGAGGGCCCACATGTTTTTATAAGAATTTGATTAAAAAAATGCAAACTAGTCACAATAAAGATGACTTCCGTTTATAACTGGCACACTGCTTGATTAAATTATCAGATTATTTCACAACACCCACACCAGCACGATATGTATGGCACTTTAGCTGACTGGATGTGTGGAGATAAAGTATCTCTGAATCTGACACTTTTTCTCTGAGTGTCCGGGAACTGGCGGCTGCTATAAAATTTGAATCTGGAGTTTACACGCAGTACAGATCCAATTAATCAGATTGATTAATTAGGACAGCAGCTACAGATTAGAACCTTTCTGTGCAAAGCAGGTTTTCTGCTTTCAGGCAAGAAGCCAAATTATGGAACCGAGGCTGAACCACAGATTCTCAGGCACCAGGAGAAATGTACAGTATAAATAACCACAATGAGTGAAAACCAATAATTAGAGTCTGGAATTTTATTCAAAGTCAACATTATCGCCAAACCAGCCCTGTGGGTTGTTAAGAATTTTTTGTGGTGCTTCTGAAGGGAGATACAAAAAGGCAGAGATTCAAAGAAGAGTATGAAAAAGCATATGTAGCTCAGGGTAGGTGCCCCTGGGGAACCACTCTGTTCTGGATCAGGTACATCTTTCTGAGGGAAGGAGCTCAGACAGGGGGCCTCCTGGTGGAACAAGACCGGACCTGAAAACGATCTCGCTGGAGAAACAGCAATAAATCTGCCCAGACCGCGCCTGCCTGATCGGGGCGCCAGACACAGAACAGCTTCTTTCACAACGAACCCGCTGTTACTGCTCGACCCGAACGGCCCCGTGTCGGCTCTTCCGACTCGACCCACAGGGCCTGAATCCCTTCCCAGTTCTTAAAAGTTCAATGAAGTGACGGCAAGCGGCCTTATCTCCCTCTCCCATCACTCCCCGTCTCTGGTGCGTCCACGGCGATCGGAGACAGACTGGAGTCCAGATGTTTGCCTGTTTTGCTGACCACTGAAGTCCGCAGCTCCCAGACCGGGACGTGGAGCGACTGCCCCCCTGGTCACATGACCACTGAAGCCCATCCCAGCGCAGCAGGACGAGCCTGGAGAGAGGGGGGGATACTCCTCCGGGGAAATGACTGGAAGGGAACTCCAATCTCCTTGAATGCAGGAAAAGGCCAAAGCCTAGTGGGATTCCCGTTTGCTCCAGGTTTCCTCATTTAGTTTTCCCCAAATGTGGTTGGACAGTGCTCTTACCGCCTCCTCCCTCTTCCCGGACAGCTCCTGCTCTCGGCAAGGTCTGGATCAACCAGTCTCCCGGCAGGACCTGCCATCGCGCCGGGGGCTCGGTGACCTTCCACTGCAGCATCCTGTCCGACGGCGAGAAGCTGGAGGACTGCGCGCCCTACTGGTACGTCCCGGGGCCGGCGGGATCGGCGGGGCCCGCGGAGCTCCAGGACGTGACCGGCGCGGAGCAGTTCCGAACCCGGATCAGCGTGCAGGAGGACATGGCCACCTACTCCTTCCTGACCCTCGCCGGGCTGCAGGAGCAGGACAACAACACCTTCTACTGCTCCCTCAAGTGCAGGATCAACGGCAAATTCGAATCGCGGACAGGACCGGGCAGCGTGCTGGGAGTGACCGGAGCACCCACTCAGGAATGCCACGGCGAGCAGGGAGGTGGGTGCCCCCTGCCCTTGTGCCCCCAGATCATGGGGAGGAGGGGCTGTGCCGACCTCCGGCGAGAGCCACGCTCCAGAGGGTTTGATCACAGGCTGCCGACCTGCTGCACTCCTCCACCCCAGCTCCCCGCGTGTTCAGGCTGCTCCTGAACACGTCCCCCCTGCGCCGCTGGGACGCTGACCTTCTGCTTCTTTTGCTCCCTTTCCAGCTGCATGGCGCCTGTTTGCCCGTTGAAGGTGTCTCACTGCTGCGGCCGCTGTGTCCGATAGCGCCTGGCCCTTGTGCAGAGCCAGCCAGGTGTGGGACTCCCACTGCCTGGGGGGAGGACAGGAAAGGGGGGTTAAGGGGGAGCTCTGAGGCCAGACGGCACAGCCCAGACTGGAGTTTAGCCAGGGCGCCGCTCTGACACGCCCTGCGATCTTATACATCCAGTCAGAACCTGGGGTTAAAATCTCATCTGAATGACGACACCTCCTACAGCCCCTCTCACAGCCTAGGTGTTGCCTGGAAACTCTGGTCCAGAGGGGAGAGCGCCCCCTGCTGGTCCACCGACACATCGCAGCAGCCTGGCTGTCCTCAGAGCTCCCCCATCCCCGTGCAGGCGGGCGACGCTCCTCCGCTCCGAGAACACTGACCGCTGTCCCTGTCCTTCCCGTCAGAGCCCTTCCCGGGAGAGCTGAGGGTGGAGCAGTGGGCGTCACCGCGGCCCCACTGCGCCGGCGGCTCGGTCATGCTGCACTGCCAGATCTCGTCCCGCCGCCGCCGGCTGGAGGAGTGCCGCGCCTCCTGGCTCGGCCCCGACCCGGACACGGCGCCGGCGGCGAACGGGACGGGGGCGGGGGGGACCTACAGCTGGCTGCTCCTCACCCGCCTCCGGGCCAACGGCAGCGGCGGCTTCCTGTGCAGCGTGAGCTGCAGGGTCGAAGGGCGGCGCTGGACCGTGACCGGGCCCGGCAGCCTCCTCAACGTCACGCCCTGCGGCAGCTGGCAGCAAGGCAGGTGCTCTCGAACCCGCGGCCATGGAGCTCGCCCCACCCCAGAACCCGAATCTCGGGATCCGCCATTCCGAAGCGCCGCCCGTCTTCCGATTCCGATGTGGCGTGAGCCGGGGGGGCCAGCAGGGGGCGTGTGTGCACCAGCAGACGGCCCAGGCAGTTCAGACAGGGAGGTGCAGGGGCGTTCTGGCTCCGTGTCTGCGATCCGGCACTCGGGCCAAACCACAGAGCCACGCCCTTGGCCTGATTCACGCTGAAGGAATCGGGCAGTTTCTCCTCGCAGGACGGAGCTGACGAGACGCTGGGTTGAAGAACGCAGGAACTGCAGGACCCCGGGTTTCAGGCTCACCTGCTCACCGCCGGGCAGAGGCCTGAAGCACAGGAGTCCGCAGTCACAACACATGTTCATCACGTGCTCTGAGCTGCCACTGCTATAGGGACAGCCGGCCCAGGCGTTAACAGAGCTCAGGCGAGGAGTCTCAGAGAGCCGGGGTAAACCGCCCCGGTCACCATACTGGGCCACAGGGATGGGAGTTCTGCTCCAGAGGGAACAGCGCTAGTATGTCTCCAGTCTGCAGGTTTATCAAGATCTTATTCAAGTTCCTCTGCTGCTTCCACAGCACCTGCTGATCCTTCTAACTGGGTACACTGGTAGGTTAGACTGGGCCCTGGTGTGAGTGTGTGAGACGCGTGTCCCACACTCATACAGATCAGCGATAGGAATTCGAAACAGCAGCACCCCTAGTCCAGACACTGAGGTACTCCCCTAACACAGCTTCTGCTAGGCTACTACAGCATGGCTGCAGAAGACTCAGCAAAAATTGCTTCTCCTAAAAAAGAGTAACAGAAAAGAGCAGAATGTTTAAAAGACATCTGCATAGTGTGTGTGCTGACGTGGATTATACACTCCGAAAACTGCAGTGCCTATGGCAAACTCTCGCTGTGTCAGTAATTACTGAACATAAACAACCTGCAAAACCCAACCAACAGGAACTGAATATTAGTCACTTCTTACCTAAATACTAATATAGCAAATTCCACAGCTCCACCACATTTTAAAGACTCTTATAAACTTATTTTAATGACTATTAATAACCTACCTGAACTACTTCACTTTAATGACTATGTTTATAATCGCACAAAACAGAGCAACACTAACTTTTTCACCTACAATCTGTGAAGAAAAAAAAGCACCATGTCCCAGTTCAGCCATGGACGTTCGGTGCTGCAACCAAAACTCAACATTTCCGCGTCTTGAAGTCCGAGTCCATGTGAACTGCACAGCCACTAGCGTCGAGAGCCTGGGTCTGGCGCCCTCTGCTGGCGGCTCGCTGGCACGCAACTTGATTTTGGGGGATTTCAGGGAAAATCTATTTTTGAAAAACGGGGTAAGTTATTAAATGCGAAACAGCAGCGCCACCACCCCTCGAGACAGAGTTTCTGGTTCTGTGGGCCCACAGGTCGAGCCCCGAACTGACTTCACGACACGACTCATCCGAACTGTTAGACTGCGCTCAGCTCCGGCTCACACGGAGGTTTGCCTTTTGTCAACTGCATTTCATAAAGTAGAACAAAACATCTGTGTACAGAACACAACTTCAGGCCCGCAGTCCTCCAGCGCCAGGCTGGGGACCCCTGTGCCCGAACTCGCACACAGGAGCGCGTTAAAGCCGGTCTCGGCGCCGCTGGCTGGGCTTTAGCGATGCAAGGGGCGGTAACGCCCAGCAGGTGGCAGCTTGCCATTTGTGATCAACTTTCCAGCTGGGCACATAACTTCGTCCAGAAATAGCGCTGCAGTGCAGCCGTGCGAGTATTAGCGACACAATCCCACTGAATGCACAGCCGAAACATCCACGTGAACACGACTTCGCTGCAAAGTCCAGCTGTTCTCCGGTAACATTCTGACGTGGCATCAACGCCCCCCGCGTGGTGTCTTCTTCCCGGGTGTTTTTGACGCAGGGCCGGCCCTCGCCGCGCAGGCGCACTGACCTTCTCCCCCTCTCTCGCTCGCGCCAGGTTGCGGCCCCCCCGTGCTGTGGCGCGTGTACTCGCTCTTCGCCGTGAACGGGCTGGTGCTGTGCGCGGCCGCCGCCATGTGCGCCGCCCTGCTGCGGAGGAGGCTGGGCAGCCGGCGCCGCTGGGAGGTGATGTAAGCCCCGCCCCGCCCCGCCCGGAGATGAAGGCGGGTGGGCGTGGACGAGAGGAGCCCCGCCCCCCGTGGCGTCATGGGAACTTCCGGCCGAGGCGCAGGCTGACTGACCGCTCGCGGGTGAATGTCTGGCCGCACTGATGCACTACAGTCCTGTGCCGTCTGGACGTGTCTACATGCTACGGACTGCACCCCGCTGATTCAGCCCGCCATTAACCCTTCCCCTCCCGCTCACCGACACCAGTATCCGGTTACTTCGTTGGCCGTCCTGCTTCCCCCGGCCTCATCATTTGCAACCTTTATCTTAATTTTTTGAATGAAGTTTTTTTTGTAATAAGGTGCCTCGCGTGTTGTTTCGTTTGTCTCACATCTGCCTTCGTACTCATATCGGTGTCGGCGACGATCCGCGCCTACAGGCCTCTTTCCAGCAGCCAGCAGCCTTTCCTATGGCCAGCAGCCATATCACCCTGCAACTCACAATTGGCAGCCCCACT